TGCAGGGAAGGAGTGCTGCACTGAGAAAAGCCCTCCCTGGGACCAAAGTCATCTCCTTGCAGTCCTCAGTAACGTTCTCAAATCTCAAGATCTGGTCCATCTTCAATGGTCCACAACAGGGGTAGGCAACCTTTCCCCTTTAAGGGCCGAGGGACTTCAGCTCCCAGAAGCCTCAGCCATGTTGGCCAATAGTCCCATGTTGGCCAATAGCTCCTGGGATTCTGGGAGCTGAAGTCCCTCGGCCCTTAAAGGGGAAAGGTTGCCTACCCCTGGTCCACAAGGTGAGGGAAGGAATATCAGAGCGAGAGTGCTATTCTGAAAAGGACCCCCCCCTCCCAAACCCTGTGTACTACAGGCTGCTGTTGTCGCTTTGGATTGCCTGCTGAAGACTCTCCTGAGATCTCTTCTCCTCCCTTTCCTCCTTTGTTAGATTTGTTTTTATTTGAACTCACTCTGAGCAACTGCAGCTGGTGCTTAATGTCTCATGTTTAATGACATGCCCAGATCCTGTCCCTGTGACATTATCAGGTGCTGTTGCAGCATCTTATATTTTTGCTATGAGATTTTAGGGCTTAACAACCCCCGGACCTGAGGGATGAGGAAGCTCGGAGTACTCCTTTTGTCTATGTTTCAGACAGCCATAGGTAGTACCCTCAAGAGATTAATAATAATAATAATAATAATAATAATAATAATAATAATAATAATAATAATAACTTATACTTCGCCCCTCTGCATCGCAATCTGGGAGGCTTCCAACCTAAAATTACAATACAATATACATGCATCTTCACTCTCACACACTCCACAACTTGGAAAAGGGAGGAGGTACATGCTGCCACTGTTGTAGAGGGAATAGGAGAGGGATTTAGAGCATCCCTCTCACCAGAACCAGTTTTCTTTCCACAGCATCACAATACAGAAAGTAAAGACACTGTGGTGTCTGGATCCTCCATTCCTATTCCACCATTGAAAATCCATCCTTGACTGCACCTGTGTTGCTTCTCACATTTTCCCCATTTTATTTCAGTCTCTCTGCCATTCCATGACTATCTTTTTTTAGAATACTGGATTGGTTCCAGATTCTCTTTTACTTTTGCAGGCATTTTTTTTCCCATTACTGGAAGGGAACCTTTAGACCTAACCAATTGCTTTCTGTTCTTAGAACTAAAACTACTAAAAGAAATTGTGCTCTTACATGGTTGTGAAGTGGATCCAGAGCTCACAGGGTTGAAGCTTTGGGATGTTTTGATTAGCTGGCACTATGGACTTTATCACACGGGGGAAATCCCATGCAGAAATGGTGTTTTAAATTTTAAAAAAACCACAAAAAGGGATTGATTTCCACACAACGTCATTGTTCAACTGTTGTTAACCTGAATGGAAAGTAGTCAAAAGCTGCTCCTTTTTACTTTCAGAAAATCTCGAAAGTAAAAAGGAGTGGCTTTTGACTACTTTCCACTCAAGTTAACAACAGCTTAACAAACTGTGTGAAAATCAACCCCTTTTGCGGGTTCCCCCCAGCTTTTAAATCCCGTTTCTTCATGGGCTTTCCCCCATGTGATAAAGTCCTTATGACAACTTTTGCTATCATTTATTTATTTCATTTATATTATTCTTTCTCCCAGAAAGGGACCCAAGGCGGGTCACAGATAAAATCAGTCAAAAACTTTACAATGAAAATTTGAAAACAGTTAAAATCATCTTGCTGCCAGGCAATTGATACTCTTCTTTATTTGTAACCACAATTCTGGGTTTCCTTTGCAGTAGAATTGGTTTACTTCTCTCCTCTCTGTCTCCCTTCTAAACCAAAGGGAAGGTGAATGTTGAATGTTCTGATGCTTTTTGTTTAACATTAATTTATCACACTCTGAGTGGAACTGTATTGTGCCTGAAGTTGGTTGAAGATGAAAATACTGCGTATCAGAGCTTTAGAAAGAATCACTTCAACTCCTCTTTTGTTCTGTTAGGCAATTCTATTTTCTTCAGTCTAATCTTTGAGGTCTTACTTCAGTGCTGCCATTATTTCATCCTATTACTAAGGTCTCCTTTTCCATGGCTCTTACAATTTAAATAAATTTCCAGGAAATATCTTAATGCGCTGCTTGACCAGACATTAAATAGAAGCAAGAAATAAATATAATTATTTGGGCTGCACCACAGCTAGGAAGAAAATAGTTTCTTGTAATTAATTTCTTTCCCCAATAAGTAAGGCACAATCAGATTGTTTAAAAATGCTTTTAAAGTGTATTTTAATGTGTTTTTATCTTTGTACTGTTTTGTTTTCATTTGTTCTCAGTCTCAAGAGCTCTTGTGGGCTGGGAGGTAGTACAGAAATATCATAATAAATAAACCAAGGAGATATAAAGGAATTAAAATATAAAATAACAAAAACAAATAAAGGCAAATAAAATATGAAATCAATAAAGTAAAGAGATATAAAAGTAGCAAACTTGAGTCTAAGGGATCATCCACACTGACGACTGTGTGGCTGATCATATGGGTGGTCATCCAATGCAATAGCATCTGGGTGGGAGACGGAGGTAATCGAGGTTGTATGCATTGTGTTTGTGTGACGGTGTGCATGCATGGTGGGGAGGTGACAAAAAAATAACAATTGCCTATTGGAGACAGCCTGTGGGTGTTTGGCCCACCTTGGGAGCGAACCATGTGGACCATGTGGTTTCAACCAGCTTTCAGAAAACCCATGATTGATCTGATTTTTCCTTCCCGTCTTCTCTGGCCCTAAATGAGAAAAAATAAATAAATTCTAGCATGAGCTTTCTAGTAATGCTACTAAAGACATACCTACACAGATTGCAATGAGGGAAATGTCACTCCATTTGCAATGTAACCAAACCACCAATGTGATCTACTGATGGAAGAGGACTATCTCATGTTTTAAGTGCTGGATCGTGCTGTGCCTTGTGCTGCTGCCTCAAACTCTGTTGTGAGTGCTGCAGCAATGAAAAGGTAAATGGGAGAAGAATGTGGTTTGCAAGATTGAGATTTATAAAAAGGAATGAAAAAGGAATGTATCTTAGGAGGGTTGCAGACTGCCAGAAATAGTGCAAATTGAGTCCACTTTTAGGGTTAGGGGTAGGGTATCATGGGAATTGGTTTTTTTTTTTCCTGAGATATTGGACGTTATCACACGGGGCCCAATCCAAACAGAATCCAAATGAAATCCCGCCCGAATCTGGATTATTTGCCCGTGTTTTCACATGACATCGCACAGAACCCCAACAGAAAGTGGACAGAAAGTGGAAAGAACTGAGATCTTTTGAATTTCGGTTTCTTGAGGAATTGCAATTGCACAATGAGAATCATTTCGCATTTACTGTTGGTCTGATAACCAAATACGTATTGTGGAGCATTTCCCCGTCATTACCCATGGTTCCCGCAAGCATTACTCTGTCTGCGCATGTGCAGGAGGCTCATTTCGGCTACATTTATGGGTTTTTTTCTCTTGTGTGTGGATGTTCGATACACTTACTGTAAATGTGCAATGAAGGTAATAGCGTTTGCGGAAACAAGATTTATTTCCTGTTTATTTTCGGGATGCCTCATTTCCACTTTATTTTCAGTTTCTGGGCCACGTGTGATAACGTCCATTGAGCCTTCTCTGTCAGAGAGCTCTGGTGCCACAATAAAATACAGTTCCCATGATTCCCTAACCCTAATCCTAAAAGTGGACTCAATTTGCACTATATCTGGCAGTCTGCAACCCCTCTTAGTTACTTTTGAGAAATTGGAAAGTTACTTTTAAAATCATACCTACAAAAGTGTAACTTCTTTGTTGGGCGGGGTTAGGAACAACAACTAATTACGCGTTTCTTAAATGTAACTCTGAGGGTGTATCCACACTGCAGTTTGAGACCACTTTAAGTGCTGTAGCACCATCCTATGGAATCTTGGGATTTGCAGTTTTACAAGGTCCTTAGCCTTCTCTGGCAAAGAGTGCTGGTGCCTCACAAAACTACAAATCCCAGGATTCTGTTGCATGGAGCTCTGGCAGTGGGGTCAAATTGCACCATTTCTACAGTGTAAATACACCTGTAGTGTTGTTGTTTTTTTTTTTAAAAAAAAATTGAAATACTCAGCATGGCATCATTTTTGTACTACAAAAGATCCAAACATTAACAGATTTTCATTTTGAATATACAGAAAACAATTAAACAACTTTTCTACTGTTGATAGCTTTTGGTTGGAAAAGGAGATTACCTGTTTAAGGATAAGGGGTTGGTGGGTGGGTGGGTTGATTTAGTCACTTGCAATTGGGCTGTGGAAAGCAGGTTTCTTTTTTTTCCAATCCCTCCCATGCTATACAGAGGTTGGGTGACATCCCGAATGAGATGGGGCTATGTTGCGATCGCCCAGAAACTCCAAAATGACCCTGAGGACAGAGTAACAATTATTAGAGAGAAAAACAATGTACTGCTTGTGGGTTTCACTTCCCATTTGACCTAACAGTACACAAACATATATGTCTCTTTTAGACCAAAGGAAAAATGAACTCAAAGATAAAAAGTGTAAGTACATCATTTTATGCAGCTTTTCTCTTTTTGATCACAGCTACTATAAAACAAAACCCCATATATTTAACATGTAATTTTTCAGCATATAGTGCAAAATACTAGAACATTTCAGAATCAAACGTGGAAAGAAAAGGTACATTTAGGATAAATTGTTTACAACCAAACATTGGTGATAAAGTATAACATCTTTGATAGCCTGATGTCAGAAAGAGCTGTTGTTATTTCTCAGTATGCAGATAGTAACGTTCAACATGTATTATAATACTCTATTTTCCATAAGCAAAGTTTGTCTTGAGAGAAACAATTCATCCAGGCGTTCTGAATTCTTGTGACAGTTTAGAAACAGAAAGATGGTTTTTAAGACACAGCCAAGAATAAAATGCCACAAAAACATGAAATTGGTAGGTTCCAGGCATTATTATTTGATTCACACTACCATTTTGCCTGTCATTTTAGCTGAGAGCCAGTGTGGTGTAGTGGTTTGAGTATTGGATTATGACTCTGGAGATCAGGGTTTGATTCCCAGCTTGGCCATAGAAACCCACTGGGGACTTGGACAAGTCAACATGTTCTCAGCCTCAGGGGAAGGCAATGGCAAACTTCCTTTGCACAGATCTGGCCAGGAATAGCCCAAGATAGGTTCACCTTAGGGTCACTGTAAGTTACAAAAATGACATGAAGGCAAACAACAATGAAAACCATTTCAGCCACAATACTGGAAGTACTTCTGCTGTCCAGTTCTTCACCGCTTACTTTAAAAAAAGAACAAAACCAAATACCCTGCAAGTCACTTTCTACTGTCTGATAGGGTAGACCTTAGTGCTTCCCCATTTCACCCATGGAAAGCATCTCATAAGGCAAAAAGAGGCTATTCAGAGCCTTGAATTGAACAAAGTATCACTTCCAGAGGGACTGATCACATTGCCAGAGTGAACTGCTCACTGAAGTGGCATAATGGCCTCAGCAAATTCCTTTTTCACTGCAGGTCTATGATCAAGCTATTTTCTTTAAGAACATAAAGGGCCTAAAACTGAAATTATTAGCCCAGATCCAATGAAGTTGTTCCATTGGAGGGAAGGAACAATTTCCCATCTCTCTGCAGTTACCTGTTCATCCTTAAACCTTTGCTGGAGAGCTCAGAAATCTTCTATGTTAGGTTTTTGGGAGCATGGAAGGCTGTAGAGGGAAGGGAGGAGCAAAAAGCCACATTACACTGATAATTCTGGATTTTGACCAGTGGCTGAGATTTCCCTAGGCAGTTTTGTTAAATTGCAAACCCTTAAACCCCCATTGTATCTTATAATAGCATTGGATCTATTGAAGTCTGATTGTAATATTCTGTTGAACAATTGTGTGTATATACATCATATTTTGCTGTTCAAATTCAGCTCCATGCCTCCACCCAGTGGGGTTTTGTCAACAAAGGATAAAAACCAGAAGTCTCTGAAAGCAATTAGACCACATGCAACATTTAAAGCATGAATAAAGTAGTGAAAGCCTTGTCTTCCCTGCTTCTCTGCAACAGCAGTTATATTTGGAGATATACTGCAGGATACCATTTTTACAGGGAACTATGGGGGTGTCAATGGCTACTTCTGAAAATTAGTTAATGGTGGTTTGAATAGTTTTATTGGCAATGGTTGTTGCACACAAGCCAAGTACTTGAATGAAAAGCTTAGAGAAGTTCTTTTTTTCAGAGAGCAGTTCCCAGAATCCTATGCTGGCTAACTGGATTCTAGGAGTTGCTGTTCAAAAATTATAAACTTTCAAAGTTTTGCTAAAATTTAGGAATCTACAATCCAGACAATTTAAAAATTAGGTTTATATTCTCTGATTTATAAGTACTACTTGAGTTTAATTATATTTTAAGAAAAGTTCATATAGTTGTGGTCAACATGAGTAAGTTGGACAACATAGAGTTGGTTGGGATGGAACATGGGAACCTCCATGTTTTACAGAATCCTAATTAGAGATTCTACTGATGAATATCAGAAGGGCTTACACAAATTACTCCAAGAATGCCCCACAGGAGCATAGAATCAAACTGAAATAAGACACATCCCAAGAGCCCTGACCAGGCATTTCTATTTACTATCCAAAATACACAAACTGTGCAACTGATAAGATTGACTGTTGGCACATCTGAGTAAACAGACTTACTTCTCAGACCATATGCCACCAATACTCTAAGCTATATGAAGGATATAACTGACTTCCTGAGGAAAATACAATCTATCTGCAGTTTCTCAGAGAACACCAGCCATGTGGACCAACTTCCTACACAAGGATACAGTACAATCCTTCCAATACCATTCTGATGGGACCATAGTGCTCCTGGACACCAGATTCTGCCACTTTGTACTTACTCATGACTGCTTCATTTTTGGGAATAACATGTACCTTGAAAGCAGCAACACTGCTGTGGCTAACCACATGGCACCACAATAGACAAATATATGTATGGTTGACCTAAGACACTTTCTTATGTCACATGCCCAGAAACCTCTCTACCTGACATTCATCAGTGACATCTTCATCAGCTCAACCCATGGGAAGGAATCACTTGAGAAATTTTATCAGGATTTCAACTACTTCCACCATACTATCAACCTGAGCCTTGATCAATTCGCATGTTCATTTTCTTGACACCACTGTCCAATTGCACAATCGATTTCTAAGCACTATATTGTATCAAAACGGAATGACTGGTACACGTCTCTAGATTCTACCTAGAATACAGCATAGTCGGACAAGGAGTGTAGCTAGAGAAAAGAATGTAGGGATTAATTTTGCACTGTCACACCTATTTTTAAACTAGTATTTATAGGTAGCATTATTTGTATTTGATAAAGTCAGCCAGTAGATGCTATGTGACTGAGCATACAATTAATTTAACAGTTGATCTACTTACAGCTGTGAGATGGAACAGGGTAAACCGGTTTTAGGCATAAATAACATGGTAGCCCATGGTTTTACATGCCAGGCTTTTGCCTACTTTCTCTTGCAGAACATGATGAGAGGCTTGTATATATACATATTCCTGTCATGAACATTACATTCCAAAACTGTGTCAGCCAACTGAAGCAAAAAGCCAAATTAAGGAAAAAATCTCATTCATTCTGGCATTAAAAACATTTCAATTCTCCCAAACCAATGGCTATTTGATTTGCTATGCTTCTTTGTTGTCACATCAGTTAGCTTTAGTGAACAACAGCAGGCCTGAGAGATACCTCTAAAACTGCATTTTATGTTGTTAGAATAGTGTACAGAACTGCACAAAATGTGATATGGCCTAAGACTGACTTGAGAGGAATTACTAGAATTACATGTTACACTTAGGCTGGTGAGATGTCAGCATATTTCTTTTGTGTAAGAACACTTCAGGGTTCAGGATTTTTTTGACCTTGATTTTTGAATTTTTATTATCATTATAATACTTATTTTTAGCATTTGCATACTTTTCAGTGGGGTATTTTTACCCTTTTAGATATTTAATTTTATTGGGTTTTCTGCTCCAGGGTTTAATTATCCTTTTATTTCTTCACATTGTTGCCTTTTTGGAATTGGAAGTGGGATTATTTTATCCTGGTTATTTTTTGGCAGAACCCTTCAGTTTGGTTTGTTGCTCATCTATCTTGGGTTTTTTGACTGTAGGGACTTTTGTTGGTTTGATATAACCATTCATCATGGTTTCGAAATCAATGATGCTTTATTTCCAAATCAAACTTTTGTCTGTCCTGGAAGCACCAACCTCCTCTACTCTCTCACCCATCCAGCCTTAAGAGTGAGCAGAGAAAGTTATGTCTGCTGGAATTTTATAAGTTCTTTGACACTGTTTTACTTTGCTTCATCCTTTAGAACCTTTGTTACATGCTCCTAAATTTTGAAAAGGTAAAGGTATTCCCCGTTGACAAGGTTGTCAAGTCATGTCCCTAACCCTAACCCTCTTCTTTTCCCCCCCTTCCCGCCCTGTCTACCTCCCTTCCTCAAAGCTCTTATGAGTTAGGGGGCGGTGCTCATCTCCATTACTAAGTCAAAGAGCCAGGGTTGTCAGACTACTCTGTAATTGCATGTCCAGCACGTTTACACAGAATGCTGTTTACCTTCCAACCAAAGTGGTGCCTATTTATCTAATTGCATTTGCATGCTTTTGAACTGCTAGGCTGGCAGAAGATGGGACTAGTAACAGGAGCTCACCCCATCATGCAGCACCCGGGTCTTGAACTGCCAACCTGCTAATTTTGCAATCAACAGAGTCAGCGTCTTAATGACTTGAGTCACTGCATCACCCTAAATTTTACCCTCGACTTATCCATGGGTTATATCAAAATTCATAATTTCAGCCCCAAAATTTGCCCTCAACTTGTACATTAGGTTATAGCTGAGTATTTACGGTAAGACTATAATGCAGATCATTTTAAAGAGTAAAAAAAATATGAATATGAATTTCTAGTAATTGTAGTTCATAACATTTAAAGCACCAAAATCCCAGTGTGGTATTGTGGTTTAAGTGCTAGACTAAGACTCCAGGTGACCCTGAGCAAGTCATGCCTTGAGGAAGGCGATGTCATTCCCCCCCCCCCCGCCAAACAAATCTTGCCAGTAAAACCTTGTGACAGGTTTGCTTTTGGGTTGCTAAATGTGGAAATGAACTTGAAGGCACGCAACAGTTCATACTATGTAAATTACCAATATTAATGTTAGATGCAACAGTCCAACTAATCATGTATCTACTTCAGTGCTGAAAAAAAGTTATGTATTATTTACATTTTGTTCTTTACTTTCCAACAATTCCTTATTGCGAAAGATAAGTCCTACTGAGGTCCAAAACACATTGCATAAATACTCCAGTTTGAGATTGCTTTAACTGCATTGGCTCAATGTTAGGGAATTCTGGGAACTATAGTTTTGTGAAACATGAAGCCTTCTCTGTCAGAGACTTCTGGTGCCACAATAAACTATGATTCCCAGGATTCCCTAGTACTGTCCCAGGGCAGTTAAAGAGGTCTGAAACTGGATTACTTCTGCAGTGTGTTTTGCATCTCAACTGAATAAGACTTCTCACCTAGAAAAGTGAGAGCTTGACTATATTACTAAGTAATAAGAACCTGGACATTTGGCTGACTCCTAAAAATACGATCCAAAGAAATACGGTATGTTTTAATTTTAAACCATCAAATGGCAATACGAGATCCAGATGAACAAACTGAAATAGAAAAGGAGTTTGGCAACAGGTTTTATTCTTCAACTTTCAAGTCTTCTCACCATAATTAAACAAAATTTTAACAAAAACTCATATTCCAAAAGTAAAGGAAAAAGGTCTTATAGGGGGGAAAATTAAAAGCATCTTTGACTGAACCAGTAAAAAAAGACAATAAAAGTTCACGGATTCTGCTGTATCTTCTGAAGGAGATACTCCATTTGTAAGTTTAGATTTGGTTGTCCTTTTTTGGTTCTTTTACTTAATATTTTATAAGCTTCCATTTTCTTCTGTTTGTACAGTTTCTGTGCTTTCTCTCTTTCTTCCCTCCTTT